TATTATTGCAACTTTAACTGCAAACAAAAAGGTGCGGGGTTTCAGTTACATTTTTGACTGGAAAACTGGAACCGTTACTCACATCTAGAACTTGGAAGCTGCAATTAGGCGTTTTCACACCGGAGTACTTTTCCCGTTTAGTTCCGTTAGTGCCTGGAATCTTGCGTTCACACCAAAAAGAGAACTTAGTTCAGAGAACTTTCACCCCCATTTTTAGTGCCTGCTAGAGAGGTGGTACTTTCCTGGGGAGAAAAAAGTTCCAATTTCTGTCTGGGTGAATTGCAAACCACGCCCCGTAAAACTCTGAAAAGTTTTTGTGAAGCCGCCATTTTATTTCCTCGCATCAGCATTATTAGCATTAGCATTAGCCCAGCGCACCAACGGAGAGAGACTAACTTATCGCAACAACAAAAATAACATGGAAGCGGTGGAGATGAGGAGGTGTCGGCGTTCTGGGAATTGACTGCTGCTCGGAGTCCCAGCAGCTTCTACTGAAGCCAGTCCTCAACTCCGGGGATTTCCGGCCGGGGAGTTCGGGTGGCAGTATACGGCGTGAAGTTATTTGCGGCCTGCCAGTAAACCCAAAATCCACTTTGAGCGATAGAATTACTAACAAAGCACTTATATACTAATAAAGGACTGGCTTATCTAAAGCCAGTTGAGTAGCACTTGAAATGTTTGGCTCTATGAAACCTGATGTACTTATATGATTCTGTTTTCTTCAAGTTTGTATCTTCCTGGTCGAATGCACTTATTAAGCGTCAGCTAAATGCAATGTAATGCAATGTAATGTAAAAAAAGAAGAAGTGACGTCAGCGGCTTCATTTGCGTAATCTTCCCTCAGGAAACGTATTCCGGTGTGAACGCGATCTGCTCTTTAGTTCTATTAGATACTAAGTGCGGCAAAGTACTTGGTGTGAAAGCGGCTAATCAACCAGGTGTGAAGGTGCTTTGATTGGTGATTTGCTGAAAGCCGTTTCCTACCACTTTATATTTCCACTCCACTAAAATCCAGAGACAAATATTGTACCTTCTACTCAAGCTATACTATGCAATATAAAGGTTTTAGCATCAAAAAGTACCTCAAGCAATAGTCCCTATTATTCAGAATGGCTTATTTCACAATCATCTGTTGAAATATGGAATTATAAACATCCTGAATGCAGGCAACGAGGGTCAAAATAATATTCCAGGTCTTAGCTGTCATATTTTTCTTCATTTGAATGTATAGAGAACGTGAAGGGAGCTCGAGCGTGTCCCTGTGGAACGCAGGTATTCAGGATAAGGCATTCGGAGACAATGTAGTCAGTGCAAACTTTAATCCTTAACTCTCTGAACCCACAACATTATTTAATTAGCTGTCTATCATTCTATTTTACATGTATAAAGTTAACTTTGTTCCGCTTTTTACTTGCACCACTCTTTTGCACAATTGTATTTATAGTTCTTCTTGCAGTCTTTGTATGTATTAAGTATATTGTATGTAGCCTTGTTGGAGGAGTCTGAGACTTCAGATTTGTATTGCATAAAACTACACTGTAGCTTTTACACTTGTGCATTGGACAAATTAAAGCCTTTGAATCTTTGAACCCAAGGACAAGAAATACATTTAGTACAAATACATATATTTTAGCTTTTTCAAAATAAACAAGCACTTATTTATTCGGTTTAAGATCTAATAAGCAAAGTCATGCATACAACTGGTGTGGAGACATATCCTAGAACAGGAGCAATATGGACATTGCAGAGACTGTGACAAAGGAAAACACAGCTTAAAGTCTCACATGTGAGAGACATCAGTAATACACATGCAAATACGAGCACTAAAACTAACCTAAAGTAAAGTGACACATATTGGACTTTGTATTTTTGGACATTTATTTTATGACCGTATTTAGTATTGATGAGTGTATGAATAAAGTGTTAGAAAGTGTGCCACTAATTTCGAGACAGGAGTGGAGGAATAGTGTCTGTACCACTGGAGCTGCCTTCATTTGTTTACCGTGCGTTCAGTTTCCTGATCCTGAGCAAACACCTAAAGCTCAAAGTTACTTATCAACAACTCCCCCCCTCGTTCTGCATGGGCTCCCTTTGTAATCTTGTCTTTTATGGTAGATTATATTTCCATAAAACAAGAACACACTATTTATTTCTAAGGTCCATGTTCACTCACATGAAGCGATGCAAATGAACTTCTCGACCAAAAGCAGAAGTGCTTAATTTGAAGGCTGAGAGATAGACTTCAACAGAAGAAAGGACACTACCTGTTCTCCTATTGCGATGTCCAGAGGTTTAATTAAAACACTTCTCCGTCTACGAGTCAGAGAGGGCTCAACAGAGCGGCTGTAGTGATGGCGGAGGAAGAGGAGGAGGTGAACTACGCTTCGGTTGTGTTCAAAGCCGGCAACAATCATCCACCTGCGGGTAAGTTTAGTTATTTAACAACTTTCACTTCCTGCTGATGATTTTGAATCAGAGCCTCTTTGTTAATGTGATCAATGCAATGTTGAGTACTTCAATCCAAAGAAAGTTGCTGTTTTTAATGTCCTGTAATTTAACTGTGAAACCAGAAACATTTAGAAAAATTGTTAAAAGGCTGTTTCTGTATTTGCTTAGTGTGGTTGAAGATTAGATTTTTAGCCAACCCAGCACATTTGCATTGATGTTTTTCAAGATCACAATGTTGAGTGTAAACTTTTCACCAAATTAACCAAGAAAACTCATCATAGCAGTCGTGCATCTATGATTTAATAGTATGAGTTTTCTTGATTCATCAATGCACATTTTTTGTAGAAATAAGCCTTCTTTATTCATGTTTACTACGTTGAGAAAAAACTTTTAAATCTAGAGTAGTTTGAAACCTTTGAACACCTCATCCTATTTCAGTTTAACTTCAATTCATATTTCTTTAACTTAAAGATTCAAACTGATGGTCATTTGTTGGGTATTTTAATTTTAATTTAGCGACTCACACTGGAGGTATATCATCACGAACACATCTATTTAAAACCCGTGAGGAAATTGCGAATGATCTGTTGAGAGTTTCCCGTATCATGTCGTTTCCCTTTTTTAATGGCATGATACAATACCTGAAACACAATCTCATCATTTTGAAGCTGCCCATTTGAATGGAAAAAATTGCCTTTCTGCAATAAATCAATCATCGTAAGGCAATTGTTCTGCTATATCAAACAATTAAAGCAGCCTTTAAAAGTCCTTTTCATTTATTCACAAAAAAACCTGAGCATGTGCATTTCCTTTGACCTTTCAGCAAAAAGAGGGGAGGAAACTGTGTACGATGAGGTGAAGGTGCAGAACGAAACAAAGAACGAGGGTAAGTTGTATTAAAAAAAGCATTCAGGTGTTACTGCAACTGGGAGTACTACCACTACTACACCATTATAACTATCATTAAAAGGGAACAAGTTCACAAGAACTGTACTAAAGTTTATATCTGTAGGTGCTTTGTCAGTAACCAGCACTCTAACAAAGCCGTAAAATATTTGGAGTGTGCAGTGTGAGAAATGTCAACGTTTTGCAGACGGGGCATTCTGGTCTTATGAAAAAATGATCGTCCCAAGTACGAAAGCTTTGTTATCCCCCGTTTGTTTTTGACATATCAAAAAATAAGTTTCTAATCAAATTATTGTTACAACCCGGCTCTTGGGCTGTAACAAAAAGCTGGGAGGCGAGACGAGGGTCTGAAAATATAACAATCCTTTATTTTTGTGGACACCAAAACAACAGCCGCGACACAAAGCTCACACGGGGAATGTGCGAAGGAAATGAGAGAGAGAGACGTATCCAGCTGGGCTCTCTTCTTATAGCCTTTTCGACCCAGGTGCAGCTCATCAGGTAAATGCTGTAAAGAAAGAGAGAGAGAGACCACGGCACGCCTAGTGGTGTGAAGGGGTCGTCACAATATGCACAAATCTTTAATGTCAAATCATTGTTGACTTGTTTTAAGTTACAAAAAAGTACTTATTTTAAGCCAAACCAAGACCTTTGTATTCTGGTCCTTTTGTAAAAGTACTGTTACCATGTGGTAAACGTATCCATTACAAGTAGAAATACAGCATTAAAAATATTACTTGAGTAAAAGTAAGTAATTATAAAAACACAGAAATGTTTAAAATTTAAGAAAAAATAATGTTCTAATAAAATTTAAAAAAATTAAATGTATACAGATGCCAATTAAGTTTCTTTATAATCTAGTTTTTCATATCTGTTCATATTTATAACAACATATTATATTTTTTAAATAATAATGCATCTAAATTATTAACTTACTATAACTGTATTGGAGTAAAATATATGATACCTTTGAATTGTAGTTGAGTTAAATCATACAGTGGCATGAAAAGAAAATACTCAAGTAAAGTAGAGTGCCTCAAATTTGCCCTTAAGTACAGTTTGATTAAATGTATTCAGTAACATTCTACCACTGCCTTTTACTAAACTTTATCAAGTGGTTCTGTTGCTTTTTACGGGGGTTTTATCTGCAACGTTATTAACGTGTTAAAAACTGTGAATGACTCAGACTAAATATGAGGCTCGTTTTTAGGAAATCTCTTGTGAACGGTTATTTTGAGATTGAACTTTTGTGTTGTACTGCAATTATGTTACAGTGACTAATACTCAAGACCTACGGTAACTCTCACTGGAACACTTTTAGCAAAGTACATAAAGCAGTTTCTCAAAACACAATGGGTTCACTACTCTTTAATGGTAGGGTAGGTAATTGACTTAGAAACACTTGTTGTTATATTCCATGGAATGCTCTTAACATCCCGATAGCAATGAATAAATTAAATGCTTTGACAATAAATACATATAAATATTCATCTGTGGAAGCCGTGGCGATGTAAAAAGCACGACCAATCATCTGAGCCGGCCCGGCTAAAATAACTGGATGGCCTACCTGCCTGTCAGCCTTCCATCTGTGCACAAATTTATCTCGTGCCCTCATTGGTCATGTGCACGTTCGTGTGTGTTGGAGGAGGGGCTCTGTGAGGAAGTCTGAAGGAAGGGGCAGATTTCTTCCGGCTGCATATTTTCAAATTCTAGTGCACTCGAGCTGGTTTCTCCATTCTTACCTACCCTACCTTTAAGTAGTTAAAGCGAATGCTTTCTAATGAAAGATCCTGCAGTAAATCCTAGAAAGAAATGAAATGCTAACCTTCATAAAGGTTAAGTGTAGGACTTGTCGTATTAAGACTGCATTCGTTTTTGATGAAAGTTAAGTAGCAGCCCTTAAAAATATAAAATCTT